CCTTACCTCTGCAGCCGTTTCTCTCCACAAGTTCAGAGCCCAGGACCTAGTGCACTGGGGGATTCACTGCAGAAAATAGTCACACTTTTTGTGGCGGGGGTGGGCAGGTCAGGGGCTGCCTTGTGTCAAACATTTGTACATTGAACATTCATATATGGAGTGCCTGCTACATGCAAGGCACCACGCTTTGTTCTGAACATACAGCCCTGAGTGAGATGGATAGGGACCTTCCCTCACAGAGTGTATATTATAGTGGGGAGTGGGGAGTGGGGCAATGAATAAAGAAGCTAATTTCAGATTGTGATACATGCCTTCAAGAAAAATAAAGCAGACACATGTGCTGGAGAGTGACTGGGGAAGGAAACTCCTTTAGATTGATGGGGTACGCAGGAAGGCCTTTCCAATCGGTAACATTAGAACAAAGGTTTAAGACAAGGAGTCAAGTAAGCATTCTAGACAGGACCGACTAGCTGGGATCTCTCTGCTTTCCCCTACTGACTCCCCACTTGGACCAGATTCCAGCTGCTGTGTCACCGCTTTTCCTCAGAGCTGCCCCTCCCCCCCCCCCCCCCCCCCCCCCCGGAGACCAAGCCCTGGGCCCAGGAGCTGGTTTTTCTCATCTAGAGCTCCGTAGTACCCAGCACCGTGCCTGGCACACTAGGCAGTCAGAAAATCTTTTTTTTTTTTTATCCTCACCCGGGGACATTTTTCAATAACATTTTTCAATATTTTGTTCAGATAGAGTGAGAGGAAGAGAGAGAGAGAGAGGAACATTGATGTGAAAGGGACACATCAACTGGCTGCCACCCACATGACCCAACCAGGGCCAGGGACAAACTGCAACCGAGGTACGTGCCCTTAGCGGGAACCGAACCAGGGTCTCTCTGGACCGCAGGCCGACGCTCTGACTGCTGAGCCAAACTGGTCAGGGTAGGAAACCTTGCAAGAATTCTTGAATGCATGAGGGAATGATTAGAGGTAGTAGGGGGTAGAGTATGGGAACCAAACATCTTCCCCTACCCTGGACCTTTCTTGCTCTGGGATCCTTGAGTCCTTGGGGAGTTCTGTTGATATTGGGTTGTCATTTGATTCTTGGCACGGTCTGAGTAAAGGTCACAGGTCTTTACTGGGGAGGAGGGACATCTTGGAGGAGAAAAACAGAGGCTAGGGGTGGGGATGACACTGGAGAGAGAGGCCCCCCTCAAAGCCTGGCAGGCTGAAACCCTAGGCTGAGAGTCATCATGAGTTCTGTTCTTCACTAGTAGACTGGCTTGGAAAAGCCACTTTTGCCCTGGCCGGTTTGGCTCAGCGGTTGGAACATCGCCCTGCGGACCAGAGAGTCCCAGGTTAGGTTCCCACTAGGGGCACATACCAAAAAAAAAAAAGGAAAAGCCACTTTTCCCCAGGGAGCGTCTGTTTCCTCAGCATATGACGGGGGGCTTAGATGATTCCAGGTCCCTTCCCCACAACAGCCCATGCTCTGGAGTAGGGGAAGTGAGGGAACGGAGTGAGCTCCCCTAGGAAGGCTGAGGACACCCTTGCCTCTGCAGCACAGCATCCTAACCAAATACTTGTCTGAGTACACAAATGAAAGGAGGAGATAGGTGGGTGGGGGAATGGATTCCAAGGAGCAGCTGTCAGATTACAAATCACAAAAACCCATTTTCAAATCCCATCATGTTTCCTCAAGAATAAAATGGAAAAAAAAAAAAACAAAAAAAATCTACATCTTAGAATGTGGGGGGAAATGTGTGAAAGGACTCCATAGGAACCTTTCTCCTCCAAGGGCTCTTTCAGAGCCAACCCTTGCAAAACCAAGACCCAGGGCCCAGCCAAGGGCTAGGAAGCAGCATGTGCTGCCTCCTAGTGGATATGCTTGTCACTGCTGATTCCTCAGGAAAAGTGGAGGAGGGGGTTAAGTTGTACAGGTCCCTTTGCCTCCTTCTGGAATCTTCCTTTCAGTTTAGGGTTGGGAATGGCACCTCCGCCCTCTTCTCGTTTTGGGGGGGAGGTGAGATCAGGTTTGAATGAACATTATTTGGGCAGAAAATATGACTTCAGTTATATTTCCCATACTTTTACTGAGGGCCTAATAATAGAGGCAGGGAAGGCTGAGGCAGGAGAAGGCTGCAGGGCAGGAAGGTTATGAAGAGTCCGTTGCAGCCATGTTGCAGTGTTTGTAGGGAGAGATCCACATGGGGACGGATGTCCAACATCCATTTGCTTAGGATTCTGGCGCTTAGGGGTGGCGTTGGCTGGAGGAGGGGACTTGGGTGGTCCACAAGAAACAGCAACAAGGAGCCCCAAGAGGATGATAATGCCTGGGGAGTAATGACAAGGGAGGAGGGACAACCAAATTAGAGAGAAGCAGAGAGATGAGGCGGGGAGAGCCAGGCCCTCTCTCTGAAGGGAGCATGATGACTGGCCTGTTTCCCAGCTGACGGCCCCGGAGCTTTCACAGCAGGAGCCAGTCCCCAGTGACCTTAACAGTTTGAGTCAGTCTTCATCATTGGAGAGATTTCTCTGCCAAGTCACCAATGTTGTTTTGCATACACTGAGAATACAGTTTCATATAACGGTTCCAAAATTGTGAGTACATCAGAATCATCTAGAGGACTTGATAAAACACAGATTGCTGGGCTCTACTTCCAGAATTTCTTAGTCAGCCAGTCAGTCACAGGTGGAGAATGGGCATTTCTAACAAGTTCTCAGGTGATACTGATGCTGCTAGCCCTGGGACCGCACTATGAGGACCACTGGCTGGGAAGATGAGTTCCAACCCTGACTTTAACATCTCCCAGTGAGCACTTGAGCAAATTACTTATCTCTCCCTACCTCAATCTCTTCATCTGTAAAGTCAGATAATAATACTTATCTCATAGGATTATTATGAGAATAAATAAGTGAAGTACTGAGCAAAGGACTTGGCATAAACAAATCCTCTCTATCTGGTAGCTATTATGGCGATGGTAAATTAGTTGATCTTAACCAATAATAAAAAAACACTGGGCCCTGGCCGGTTTGGCTCAGCGGTTAGAGCGTCAGCCCGTGGATCAATGAGTTTGAGGTTCGATTTCGGCCAAGGAAAGGAAAAAAAAAAAAAAAAAAACATTGGCCCAGGAAGCCAGTTGTGGAATATCTTCATCAGATAATATAAAAAGTGACATGTACAAGTTGACCACCCACTGCCATTTCTTTTCCAATGTATGTGACTGAAAGCATTGCTTCTCAATCTTTAATGTGCACATGAACCCCTGTGGACCTTATCAAGTGCAGATTCTAGTTCAGTAGGTGTTATGGACTGAATGTGTCCCAACAAAGTTGTGCAGCCAGCCCAGCTGGGAGGATAAGGATGAGTGTGGGGGAGAAGAGGGATGAAAAAAATTATATCATTGTAATTATCATTTAGTCATATTTTGGCTTAAGATGGATTTGAGCCCTGGCCAGTTTAGCTCAGCTGTTAGAGCGTCAGCCCGCGGACCAATGAGACCCAGGTTCAACTCTGGCCAAGGGCACATACCTTGGTTGTGGTTCATCCCCAGCCCTGTTCAGGGTCGCGTAGGAGGCAACCAGTCGATATGTCAACCAGTCAACGTGTCTCTCTTGCATCGATGTTTCTCTCTCTCTCTCTCTCTCTCTCTCTCTCTCTCTCTCTCTCTCTCTCCCTCTCCCTCTCCCTCTCCCTCTCCCTCTCCCTCCCTTCTACTCTGTCTAAAGATAAATGGAAAAATATCCTCGGGTGAGGAAAATAAATAAATAAATAAATAAATAAATAAATAAAAGATGGATTTGAGGTACCATTATGTCTCCCATCTTCTCAGTTGGTGCTTCTGTATCAGTAAACCTTTCCCTCCTCCAAACTCTCACATTTCTAGTTTCGGTCTTTGGAAGTGTTGAACTTTGGCTGGATAACAACTTCTCCTCTCTGGTGTCCTGCCAACCCCAGCCAGATCTCCCCCCTCCCCTTCCTCCCTGGTTCCATCCAGTAGCCTCCTAATTGCTTCTTCTGTGAATCAATCTGACCTGGGCATAGGTGTTCACTTAAACGTTTACTGAGCACCTACTATATGCTGGGCACTGGGATAGTGCTGGGATCCAGAAATAAGTACTGATAAGATCACCACCCTCATCTTCAACTTCAGTGGGGGTGATAAAGAATTCCTCCACTGCCCAGCTGGTGTGGCTCAGAGGTTGAGCGGTCGACCCATGCACCAAGAGGTCACCAGTTTGGTTCCCGGTCAGGGCACATGCCCAGGTTGTGGGCCTGATCCCCAGTGGGGGGCCTGCAGGAGGCGACCAATCAATCTTCTCTCTCATCAATGTCTCTCTAAAATCAATTTAAAAAAATAATTTCTGCCCTGGCCGGTTTGGCTCAGCGGTTGGAGCGTCGGCCTGTGGTACAGAGAGACCCGGGTTCGGTTCCCGCTAAGGGCATGTACCTTGGTTGCAGTTTGTCCCCGGCCCTGGTTGGTCGTGCAGGTGGCAGCCACTCGATGTGTCCCTTCACATCGATGTTTCTCTCTCTCTCTCTTCCTCTCTCTCCCTCCCTCTCTATCTGAACAAAAAAATGGAAAAATGTCCTCGGTTGAGGATTAAAAATAAATAAATAAAAATAAAATATTTAAAAAAAAAGAATTCCTCCACTGACTCAGAATGAGCCCTTCATCTGACAGATACGAAGCTAGTCTTTCTGCCAGTGCACGACCAAATTGCACACAATACAGTCTGAGCATTTCTAGGGACTGCCTTGTGACTTGCCTAGCAACTTGTCCTTCTTCAGGAAAACTCTCTGCCAACTGCGCCTTCTGCAGTTTTCTCTTGCTGCTCAGCCCCATTTCCTTAGGTCCATTCTCCTTTTGTACTAGAGGAGCACAAGAGTCTATATCTGTTGACTGCCGTGGCACTGCCAAAGCAAGGGAAGTGAGACTTTGACGGCCGGTGGCCTGGCTCACCATGAGTTAAATATGGGTGACAGGAAGGTGATAGCAAGGGCAGTGGGTATGACTTCTCAGCTTTTTGGCTAAGATCGAGTGTAGTATCTGTTCTTATTAGTCAATATGTGATACATTTCAATGTGAGGACAATATATTAAGAGTATATTTTAAGCAGAGAGATGGGAGTAGAAGTTTGCCCCATCCATTTAGCACATTGAAGTTCCCCCTCAGGTATTCACTTTCAAGTTAAAGATGTAAGCTTTGGGCCTGGCCAGGTAGTTCAGTTGGTTAGGGTATCACCCTGGTACACCAAGGTTTCGGGTCCCATCCCTGGTCAGGGCAAAGCAAGAATCAACCAATGAATGCATAAATAAGTGAAACAGAAAATCAGCCCAGGCCAGTTTGGCTCAGCAGTTGGAGCATCGGCCTGAGGACCAGAGAGTCCCGGGTTCAGTTCCCGCTAGGGGCACGTACCAAAAAAAAAGACAAACAAAAAAAACAACAAATCAATGTTTCTCTCTCTTGCTCTAAAAATCAATCAATCAAAGAAAGATGTAAGCTTTGCTGATGTACTTTGTTATTGTTGTACTTACTGTGTTGCCTGTTATTTTCTTTTTTTCTTTTAATGTTTTCATTGATTTCAGGGAGAGAGACAGATAGAAACATCAATGTGAGAGAGAAACATCAATTGGCCAGCTCCTGCACCCTGCCCTACTGGGACCTGAGCCCAAAACCCAGGCATGTGCCCTTGACTGAATATGAAACCCACAGCCTTCCATCTGCAGGCGGACCCTCTAAACTAGTGGTTCTCAACCTTCCTAATGACACGACCCTTTAATACAGTTTCCCATGTTGTGATGACCCCAAACCATAAAATTATTTTCGTTGCTACTTCATAACTGTGATTTTGCTACTGTTATGTCTTTGGCGATCCCTGTGAATGGGTTATTTGGCCCCGAAAGGGGTCACAACCCACAGGCTGAGTCTAAACGCTGAGCCAAAGAGACCAGGGCAAAAGCATAGACTTTGTTTTTTGTTTTGTTTTTTTTTAATCCTCATCCGAGAACATTTTTCCGTTTTTTGTACAGACAGAGTGGGAGGGAGAGAGGGGAAGAGAGAGAGAGGGAAACATCGATGTGAACGGGACACATCGAGTGGCTGCCACCTGCACGACCAACCAGGGCCGGGGACAAACTGCAACCGAGGTACATGCCCTTAGCGGGAACCGAACCTGGGTCTCTCCGGACCACAGGCTGATGCTCTAACTGCTGAGCCAAACCGGCCAGGGCTAAAAGCATAGACGTTTGGTGTGAACGCTTTTCTTCTTTAACGGGGGAAAAGGAGAGGGTGAGGGAGAGAAGAATTGAGGAGGAGAGAACAGGATCAGAGAGAAGGGAGAGAAGTTCGAGAAAACAAAATGGTATCTCTCTCCAACAAGGTCTCTGCAACTAGTTGTGAAAACCGACGTGATGAAGAGAACCTGATGGAGCTGTCCAAGAGGACAGGGTAAAAACTGGAGCAGGGCTGCAGCAGGGTGAGGAAAACAGACCCAGTGGGGCCTAGACTTGAAGAGACTGTCCTCGCCGGCTGGCAAGGCACCCAGCAGCCCTCGGAGGCCCGAGGGCAGAACACTGAGGGGTTGGCAGCGCCGGCCTGGGCAGCCAGACGTTCTGTGGTTGTGCACAGGCTCCCCCAGCAGCTTGGTGACAGTGGCAGCCAGAGGAGGAATGGAAGGAGCATGGCAGATGCCCCTTGCTGACCACAGGGACCACAGGTCACGTTCAGCCGCTGACAGGCACAGAGTAGGCGTGAACCGAAGACTCGGTTGAATCAAAGAATGATTTTAGTCCGGCCGGTGTGGCTCGGTGGTTGAGGGTGGACCCATGCGCCGAGAGGTCGCAGGCTCGATTCCCGGTCGGGACACACGCCCAGGTTGTGAGCCCTATCCCCGGTGGGGGGGCCTGCAGGAGGCGGCCAGTGGATGTTCTCAATCATCGATGTTTCTCTCTCTCTCTCCCTGTCACTTCCTCTCTCTCTGAGAATCAATAAAGGAAAAAAAATGTTTTCTTTAAAAAAGAAAAAATTTTAAAGGCAGGATATCAGAAGAGAAAGAAAGAAAGAGAGAAAGAAGAGAAGAGAAATGCCCAGAGAAGTCTAAATGTAAATATACACATGTATTCAGATATAGGATTTTATATGACCAAAACGGCATCTGAAACTGACTGGGCTATTCCATCTATGATGCTGGGACAACTGGGTAGCCATCCAGAAAAAAAAAAAGAATAAAGTCAGATCTATCCCTGAACTCACATACCAGGACACATACAAAGCGGGACAGAGATGGAACGCAAAAAGATCCGCGATTCAAAGGACAGCGGGCCACGGGTATGAACACTCGGTTCACGGAGAGAACGGAGCAGCGGGCGTTCAGCCCAGGAGAAGATGCGCAAGCTGGCTCACGGCAAGAGAGCCCACGGGATATCCGGCACAAGTCTGGTAACACCATGGTTGGGTACGGCTGTGGGCAGCAGGCACTGGCTGGGAAGGCTAGCTGTGCTCTTCAAGTTGCCACCCTTGGCTTATGGTTCCTGACTCCCTGGCAGCGGGGGCAAGCGGGGTCCACAGTGAGGCCGTGGGACACCTGGGCAAGGGCTCGTCAGACAGCCACGCCCTGGTGTTGCCCTGACTTTGTTGCAAGCACTTTTCGTCTGTGCGCCTGGATGGGAGCCGGCTGAGGGGGTTCTGACTCAGGTTAAGCTGGTGCACGAGTTAAGTGCGCTAAATCACGCATTTAGACGGGGAGCAGCTCCTTTGCAATGACAGAACACGCACGTCTGCAACCCAAGGCACCTCCTTCTAAGGACCAACCTACCCGAGAAGCTGAATTAGTGAGCACAGCCAGATGGCCCGATAAACGTGGAAGCGAGCGTTCGGAACGTTAGGGAAACACGGAGGGGGTCATACTCACTCGTTACCACAAGCCGGGAGGCCTGCTACACGTACAGATCGCATTATTTAGTATTTACCCGTTCATTTATTCCACAACAGCAGCAACTAAGCATCTAGTATAGGCTAGGCACTGTCCTGAGCACTGGAGATATAATCAATGTGGGTAAGCGAGCCAAAGATCCCTGCTCTGGAGCTGACAGGCTATTAGGCTAAAAGGCAATCAACAAGTGAGTGGGTGAAATATCAGGTGCTATGTGGCCATGGAGTAAAATATGCCAGGTACGGGAGAACGGGCGGCCCTGGGTGGATGAGGGGAGACTGAGCACAGGGCTGTATGCCAGCGGTCAATAGTCTCATTTTCTAGAGGAAGAGGCTAAGCCCGAGATATCTCCCCTTGTGTTTGGTTCTTACAGGTCGGTAAACTGGATGCCGGTCCTTCCTCGTTCCTCCTATTCATTATGTCTAATTAATTTCTCGACTCAGATGATTTATTGAAGGCAGAGAGAGAGAGTTAAGCAAGGAGGCCGAGTCAAGTACGAGGTCACACGGTTAAAGGTGACCGAGGTACACAGGGGTGAGTTAGGGCCCCCGGGTCGTCCACGCGTCTGCTCTTAGCCGCTGCACCAGACGGCGGGCGGGCGTGCTTCCCACCTCTGCAGACCCAGGACTTGTGCGGCAGGCTCAGCGCCGCTCGTTTCTCCCAGTGAGCGGGTCGCACGAGAACGTTTTCTCTTTCTTTTGGTGCCTTGTTCTAGGCCCCGCGCTCTGGGCTTCGTCGGCGGATTCGGCCCCTGCCACTGACCAGCCGGGTGGTTTGGTTTGGGGCACGTTGCTTGACCTCTCTTGGTCTCAGCTACACCTGCAGGTAAACTTGGCGAGTCTGACAGGAGGAGAGCGCTCAGCACAAAGCCTGGCCCGACGGGAAAACGTTTCCCATGGCACTGTCTGCAGTGCAGTGCGATCCAAGACAGGCTCAGTTGCTTCAGTGTCACAGCCGTGACACGGAGACTTCACCGGAACCTCGCCGGACGCTAGGATCCACGTTCTAGAGGAGTAAACCACGGTGGCCTCATTAGCTCTGTTTACGGTCCCCCAATCCCACAAGGTGGGCGCTAAGGTTCCCACTTCTCGTATGGGGACACTAAGGTCCGGGAGGTGAAGGATTTTGCCCAAGTGCCCCGCCGACAGGCTAGGGCGGGGGGTCCTGACGACGCAGGGCCGCATCTCCCGGTACCAACTTTTTTCTCTGCGGCCCCTGCCAGGCGACCCAGGACGGGCGCTTCTCGGCCGAGTCCTGGGCCTGGACCGAGCCAGCCCCGGGAGACGCTCTTGTCTTCACAGCGATGACCCGACTGCTTCCTTCGGAACCAGCACCCCCCTGCTCCAACTGCGGTCCACCGACCGCTCGGTTCGCAGGAGCCGGAATGCCCTCCGATCCTTCATTTCGCGAGAGCGCGTACCAGCGAGGAGCTCGGCCACAGCTCAGTTTCCGCTCATGCGCGGAAAGGTCGTCCCGAGACGTGGGGGAGACCGACCCGCGCCGCTAGGCAGGCATACCCGCGCGGGGTGGGCGGGGCATGTAAATTATCACCGTCTCTTTAGCCACGGCGCCAAGCGGCTATAAAAGTTCACTTAACGTAGAGAATTGAAAAACAAAATCTTCACAGGGTCTAATGTCGTCTATATATGTGTCGAGATACTAGGGAGATGAGACTTCGCCTGATGGTGGCATGGCTCACCGTGACTGTAATATGAGTGGCAGGAGCGGAGTGCCGGCGAGGGCGAGGCAGACAGCATCGCTTCTCGGCCTTTTGGCTAAGATCAAGTGTAGTATCTGTTCTTATCAGTTTAATATCTGATACGTCCTCTATCCGAGGACATTATATTAAATGTATTTTTGGAACAGGGAGATGGAATAGGAGCTTGCTCCGTCCACTCCACGCATCGACCCGGTATTGCAGTACCTCCGGGAACGGTGCACCCCTCCGGGGAAATAACCGTGGTTCTAAGAAAAGGTTTTTTTTTTTTTCCTAGTTTATTTATTTATTTTTTTTCTTTCCTCGACCCTAACTGCTAGGTGCCAGTCGCGGGGTAAAAGGAAGCGCGCCACGTTCCTGTGGTTACGTGTGCGTCTGCGCGATACGGCCTTCTGTGTTTTCTCTTTCTCTGTGTCCCCCGGTTTTTTGTTTTTCTTCTTTTCCCGTCTCCGGCGTGTTTGGGCCTACTTTGCTCCTCCTGCTCTTTTCTCTCGTTTTGTGCGGCTGGCCTTTTCATAGTTACTCCCGGGAGCTCTTTCTCTCTCAAGGACATGTCT